TCGCTGGTAGTGGTGGCGTGTAGTAAGAGTGGTCGCTGGTAGTGGTGGTGTGTAGTAAGAGTGGTCGCTGGTAGTGGTGGTGTGTAGTAAGAGTGGTCGCTGGTAGTGGTGGTGTGTAGTAAGAGTAGTCGCTGGTAGTGGTGGCGTGTAGTAAGAGTGGTCGCTGGTAGTGGTGGTGTGTAGTAAGAGTGGTCGCTGGTAGTGGTGGTGTGTAGTAAGAGTGGTCGCTGGTAGTGGTGGCGTGTAGTAAGAGTGGTCGCTGGTAGTGGTGGCGTGTATTAAGAGTAGTCGCTGGTAGTGGTGGCGTGTAGTAAGAGTGGTCGCTGGTAGTGGTGGTGTGTAGTAAGAGTGGTCGCTGGTAGTGGTGGTGTGTAGTAAGAGTGGTCGCTGGTAGTGGTGGTGTGTAGTAAGAGTGTGTAACGGTTCTATTGTTACGTAAAGTATGGTGACAAATAAACACAGACACTAAGATACTATATATATATTTGGTCGAATATACAGAAGTACACAGGTGATACGTTGGTGTGAGTTGAGCGCACTGAGCGTTGGTACAGTATCTCGCAAGTGTCTGCTCTAGACCACACTTGAAAGTAGACTAGCCAATGTTCGCTACACCGCTGCTTATATTGCTTGGGCAACACCTCACCGTGTTGCCCGGGCAACGCCTCACCTCATTCATCTCCAAAGGTTGACAGGAATATTAACACTATATTTGGAGCGAGTATATTATTGGGATAATCTACTCGCTACAGAACTCCCCCTCCCAGGGGATGAAAGGAAAAATAATTGATCAAGGAACTTAGCTGGTCGGTGAATTGTACGCCCTGCTCGCGTTACATAACCATCAAAGTTAACTTCCTCCTCTTCGCTGATGTCATCTAACTGGGGTCGTAGGAGGATCCTGTGCTGGGAGGTCGTCCGTCGTCGTAGGAGGGTTGTGGTGCGGCTGGTAATTGGGGTCGAAAAGTGAACTGCGTAGTCGGCGGATGTGTCTCTGGATTTAGCAGTGTCGCAGACGTTGAGACGAAGCCTGGAGCAGAGCAGAGAGCTGAGTGAGGCCGGAGTCGTGGAGCTCTATGTGGGAGAGCGTGGCGGCTCGATTGAGATTTGTGAGTGTCTAAACTCAGGGAGCGAGAGCGTGGCGGCTCGATGCGGTCGTAGTCTGCTGTCTGCTCTGTGTCTAAGCTGTAGCGTCTTGGGTTGATTAGGACTGTACACGCCGAGTACTACATTGTTGACTGTGGAAATTGTAGTCTGGTACCAAAAGATGTAGGCAGTGTGTGGACAAGCTCGGTGTAGCAGGAGAGAAGAATGTGCATAATTGTTGCGTCCTTGGGTCGCTGGTGGAGCATTTAGATCCGGGGCGGATGGGCTCGGGCACCAGGACATTAGGAGGTAATGTAGGCACGTAGTTAGGACAACGAGGTAATCACTGCTAGAGCTGAATTGTCCTGGAGGCGACGAAGAGTCGGAAACGCAAGCTGTAAGTCCTGTATTGCACAAAGGGCTTGAGTCGGCTGAGTATCAAAATGCAGTGAACGTGTAGATGAATCTGATGACAGAGCAGCTGTCGTGGGCGTAGGACAAGCAGTGCCCTGGCAGCGACGGAGAGTCGGCAGGACAAGCTGTAGATCCAGCATGATGTAATCATTGATGAGGCTGTCAGATGAGTGAGTAACGATCGTGGAGCAGCAAGCCGTAGTAGATGAAACTGCAGAGATGGACGCGATGAAAATCATAGCTGTGGCGAGGGTGTTGGCAGTATTCCATCACAGCAAACAGTAGCACTAGAGGTCCAGTGAGAGTCCATCGTGGCTGGGTATCGTCGAAACTTCGTGAAGGTCGAAAATAGCCTCCATCTGCATGAACCAAAATTCTGGCTCATCTGCGTTGTATGCTGGAAACCTGGTAGATAAATCCATGACGAAGATCTAGTTTGTGACTAGGTGTTCTTTTCACTCACTGGGTCACCAATGTAACGGTTCTATTGTTACGTAAAGTATGGTGACAAATAAACACAGACACTAAGATACTATATATATATTTGGTCGAATATACAGAAGTACACAGGTGATACGTTGGTGTGAGTTGAGCGCACTGAGCATTGGTACAGTATCTCGCAAGTGTCTGCTCTAGACCACACTTGAAAGTAGACTAGCCAATGTTCGCTACACCGCTGCTTATATTGCTTGGGCAACACCTCACCGTGTTGCCCGGGCAACGCCTCACCTCATTCATCTCCAAAGGTTGACAGGAATATTAACACTATATTTGGAGCGAGTATATTATTGGGATAATCTACTCGCTACAAGTGGTCGCTGGTAGTGGTGGCGTGTAGTAAGAGTAGTCGCTGGTAGTGGTGGCGTGTAGTAAGAGTGGTCGCTGGTAGTGGTGGCGTGTAGTAAGAGTGGTCGCTGGTAGTGGTGGTGTGTAGTAAGAGTGGTCGCTGGTAGTGGTCGCTGGTAGTGGTGGCTGGTAGTGGTGGTGTGTAGTAAGAGTGGTCGCTGGTAGTGGTCGCTGGTAGTGGTGGTGTGTAGTAAGAGTGGTCGCTGGTAGTGGTGGCGTGTAGTAAGAGTGGTCGCTGGTAGTGGTGGCGTGTAGTAAGAGTGGTCGCTGGTAGTGGTGGCGTGTAGTAAGAGTGGTCGCTGGTAGTGGTGGCGTGTAGTAAGAGTGGTCGCTGGTAGTGGTGGCGTGTAGTAAGAGTGGTCGCTGGTAGTGGTGGTGTGTAGTAAGAGTGGTCGCTGGTAGTGGTGGCGTGTAGTATGAGTGGTCGCTGGTAGTGGTGGCGTGTAGTAAGAGTGGTCGCTGGTAGTGGTGGCGTGTAGTAAGAGTGGTCGCTGGTAGTGGTGGCTGGTAGTAGTGGCGTGGCGTGTAGTAAGAGTGGTCGCTGGTAGTGGTGGCGTGTAGTAAGAGTGGTCGCTGGTAGTGGTGGCGTGTAGTAAGAGTGGTCGCTGGTAGTGGTGGCGTGTAGTAAGAGTGGTCGCTGGTAGTGGTGGTGTGTAGTAAGAGTGGTCGCTGGTAGTGGTGGCGTGTAGTAAGAGTGGTCGCTGGTAGTGGTGGCGTGTAGTAAGAGTGGTCGCTGGTAGTGGTGGCGTGTAGTAAGAGTGGTGGCTGGTAGTGGTGGCGTGTAGTAAGAGTGGTGGCTGGTAGTGGTGGTGTGTAGTAAGAGTGGTCGCTGGTAGTGGTGGCGTGTAGTAAGAGTGGTCGCTGGTAGTGGTGGCGTGTAGTAAGAGTGGTCGCTGGTAGTGGTGGCGTGTAGTAAGAGTGGTCGCTGGTAGTGGTGGCGTGTAGTAAGAGTGGTCGCTGGTAGTGGTGGCGTGTAGTAAGAGTGGTCGCTGGTAGTGGTGGCATGTAGTAAGAGTGGTCGCTGGTAGTGGTGGCGTGTAGTAAGAGTGGTCGCTGGTAGTGGTGGCGTGTAGTAAGAGTGGTCGCTGGTAGTGGTGGCGTGTAGTAAGAGTGGTCGCTGGTAGTGGTGGCGTGTAGTAAGAGTGGTCGCTGGTAGTGGTGGCATGTAGTAAGAGTGGTCGCTGGTAGTGGTGGCGTGTAGTAAGAGTGGTCGCTGGTAGTGGTGGCGTGTAGTAAGAGTGGTCGCTGGTAGTGGTGGCGTGTAGTAAGAGTGGTCGCTGGTAGTGGTGGCTGGTAGTGGTGGCGTGGCGTGTAGTAAGAGTGGTCGCTGGTAGTGGTGGCGTGTAGTAAGAGTGGTCGCTGGTAGTGGTGGCGTGTAGTAAGAGTGGTCGCTGGTAGTGGTGGCGTGTAGTAAGAGTGGTCGCTGGTAGTGGTGGCGTGTAGTAAGAGTGGTGGCTGGTAGTGGTGGTGTGTAGTAAGAGTGGTCGCTGGTAGTGGTGGCGTGTAGTAAGAGTGGTCGCTGGTAGTGGTGGCGTGTAGTAAGAGTGGTGGCTGGTAGTGGTGGTGTGTAGTAAGAGTGGTCGCTGGTAGTGGTGGAGTGTAGTAAGAGTGGTCGCTGGTAGTGGTGGTGTGTAGTAAGAGTGGTCGCTGGTAGTGGTGGTGTGTAGTAAGAGTGGTCGCTGGTAGTGGTGGCGTGTAGTAAGAGTGGTCGCTGGTAGTGGTGGTGTGTAGTAAGAGTGGTCGCTGGTAGTGGTGGTGTGTAGTAAGAGTGGTCGCTGGTAGTGGTGGTGTGTAGTAAGAGTGGTCGCTGGTAGTGGTGGCGTGTAGTAAGAGTGGTCGCTGGTAGTGGTGGCGTGTAGTAAGAGTGGTCGCTGGTAGTGGTGGTGTGTAGTAAGAGTGGTCGCTGGTAGTGGTGGTGTGTAGTAAGAGTGGTCGCTGGTAGTGGTGGTGTGTAGTAAGAGTGGTCGCTGGTAGTGGTGGCGTGTAGTAAGAGTGGTGGCTGGTAGTGGTGGCGTGTAGTAAGAGTGGTCGCTGGTAGTGGTGGCGTGTAGTAAGAGTGGTCGCTGGTAGTGGTGGCGTGTAGTAAGAGTGGTCGCTGGTAGTGGTGGCGTGTAGTAAGAGTGGTCGCTGGTAGTGGTGGTGTGTAGTAAGACTGGTCGCTGGTAGTAGTGGTGTGTAGTAAGAGTGGTCGCTGGTAGTGGTGGTGTGTAGTAAGAGTGGTCGCTGGTAGTGGTGGCTGGTAGTGGTGGTGTGTAGTAAGAGTGGTCGCTGGTAGTGGTGGCGTGTAGTAAGAGTGGTCGCTGGTAGTGGTGGCGTGTAGTAAGAGTGGTCGCTGGTAGTGGTGGCTGGTAGTGGTGGCGTGTAGTAAGAGTGGTCGCTGGTAGTGGTGGCGTGTAGTAAGAGTGGTCGCTGGTAGTGGTGGCGTGTAGTAAGAGTGGTCGCTGGTAGTGGTGGCTGGTAGTGGTGGCGTGTAGTAAGAGTGGTCGCTGGTAGTGGTGGCGTGTAGTAAGAGTGGTCGCTGGTAGTGGTGGCGTGTAGGAAGAGTGGTCGCTGGTAGTGGTGGCTGGTAGTGGTGGTGTGTTGTTAGAGTGGTCGCTGGTAGTGGTGGCGTGTAGTAAGAGTGGTCGCTGGTAGTGGTGGCGTGTAGTAAGAGTGGTCGCTGGTAGTGGTGGCTGGTAGTGGTGGTGTGTAGTAAGAGTGGTCGCTGGTAGTGGTGGCGTGTAGTAAGAGTGGTCGCTGGTAGTGGTGGCTGGTAGTGGTGGAGGGTCATATGACCCCGTCACCTGAGGTGGGTGCCACAGTAGAGGTGGCGGCGTGACCCTCGTCATGTCTCCCTGCTGCTGACGGCGCCTCTCACAATACTCACGTCCCGCCGCCCACCCACTCTACCAGGTGAGCTCCTTGTGCCTCTCCCGCAGCTCTTTCCTTGCCATCATCTCCTCTCTTGTTTATGTCTGGTTGTTGACAGCTAATAATGTTTGTACGACACGCAACAAGCACTTTTGAAACTCTTGATCATCCTATAACATAAACGCCTCTCCCAACATCTGTGCTGTCATCGGGAGGACAAACCCTTCATGCAAACTTTTCCTACTGTCAAGAAGAATGATGTTTTTTTTTATAACTTTTTGTTTCATGAACTATTGTAGTTAGTCGTGGTTGAATATAGTTAATTTTTGCGGTCCGTCTAATTACCACAAGCTTCACAAAGCTATCTGGCAATACGTTAGTAATGAATAAATATGATATATTTACTCATTATAATGTTGGTGCTGAATGTACAACACGAAAAAACTTAATTTTAATCTGGAAAAGTGTCTTTTTATAAAGAAATTAGACGAAAATATAGAGCTGGTGACGCCAAATCAAGTCAACGATCCAAGCATTGGATAGGTTAGGTTAGGTTAGGTTAGCTCAGCCTAACCTAACATATCATATTTATTCATTACTAACGTATTGCCAGGAAGCTTTGTGAAGCTTGTGAAGCTTGTGGTAGCTTGTGGTAATTAGACGGACTCTTTATAACTGTTTCATAAAGTATTGTACTTGGTCGTGGTTGGATATAGTTAATTTTTGTTTCTATGGTTACGGAGGCTGTTATCTTGGAGCGTTGTGCTTTGCCGACTGTCTTGGTATCTTAATAATGGCTGTAATGATGACATAATATAACTACCTAGGGAATATATATATAAGTTTTTATTAATGATAATTGTCTATAATTGTTAGAGAAGCGGAAACCTTGTGTTCAGTTGAGATACAGGTCATTTTGTAAATATGATGATTCACATACAAAAATTTTAGACATCCCTAATCCGTTTATTTCTGTTTTTTTGGGACAATAACCCAACATGTATATATATACTTCAGGTATACATTGTGGTCTCCTCCCCCTAGGTTGACCTACCAACCTTCCCCAGAAGGCAACCCTACAAACATTGCCTAACTTCCTGGTACATACTTACTGCTAGGTGAAGAGGTTCATTAGGTGAAAGGAAATGTTCCCAAACATTTCTGTCCCATCCAGGAATCGAACCTGGGAACCCCAGTTGTGTATGGAGAACAAACCCAAGTGTACTAAGTAAACCTCTAGGATACTCATATACAGGCTAACCTAAGTATCTACTTTGGTTAGTACTTTGTACTTTGGTGCCTAACCAGTACTTTGGAGAAAGTAGAATGCACAGCAGTAAAAATACACCCAGAACTAAATTGACTGTTATACCAGGAAAAGTTGAAGGCCACAGGACTGACAGACTAGACAGGCCAGATCTCACGGAAACGTATAAATTGCTGAACAAATTGCAGGACAGTGGTGGCTCATGGAAAAACATTGCCAGATGTAGCGTTGAGAAATCCTTCACTAACTTGTAGCATGAAATCTGCTATTTTTGTCATGTGTTAAAGAATATTGGCAAAATTAAGTTATAAATATATTGAAAATAGCATACAAAGATTTTTTATGACATATTTGTTAGTTGCTTATTATTCTAGTGCGAGGTTGATGGAGTCATACACCTGGCAGCATGTGTCTGGAGGAACTGCACCTCAGTAGCTCCAATGGGCGAGATGCCACTGTTGGAGGATATTAATCCAGACTACTTATTTAAAGGAACACATGTAACACATACAGCTTCAAGCTAAACAAGTCACAATGTGAACAAGTAGTGTAGTGTAAGTCACAATGTGGTTCAGAAAACAGGAGATGCTTTTCCCCCATGGGGTTATAAACCCATGGAACTGCCTACCCACTGAAGCCATAAATGCAATTCAATTGTAAAAAATCCCCAGGGGAAATTGGGGGACTTTTGGTGAGTAGCCAGCTTCCTGTACTCGTCTAGGCCACGAGATAGATGGTGGCCGTCGGATAAAATTGAGGTGAACTTTACTGTGCAGTCTTTTAAATTAGAAAATGAGCTAGGCTAAGTTCAAGATGCCTGTGTATGATTTTACCATACTGTTCCTATTCTGTAGCCTTACTAAATTACACCTTTTGTATTTCTACTCTATTTGTTAATGTTAAACTACTGCTACTGTTGCTAGCACTCCAGGCTCCAAAATGTCTGTCTGCCTGTCATCATTAAGAATCACCTTATGTATATCATTTGTAATTTTTTTTTTGTATATCATAACATTTTGTATATCACAAATATCGTAATCATACATTTTCTGGGGGGAGCCCCGTCGGCTCCCCGGAGCTTTACCGGCTGATATGCTAATGTTAGACTTTGGCATCAGTCATGTGTATGGAGTTCTAGGGCCTACCGGGGACCACGGCCAGAACCTGGCCCCCTCAAAGAGGCAAGTGGAGCAATGGCCTATAGAAACCCCCGTGTGGTTGGAAGCATTCTATGTCTGCCATCAACCGGGTCAAGCATCCAGAAAGGTAAGCATTCAAAAACAAACCCCTATTCTGGTGAAAATTGCTACCTAGAACCGAACTAGTGGATAGAACTCTTCAACAGAAAGCAAGGAAACTAGTATGACGTCATACGTCACCGCGCCGCTGTCTGCGCAGCTCCCCCCTCCCCGGGAGGGGGAAGGGGGAGCCCCAGACCTCCCACGCCGGCTATCCACCCATCAGTTCTTCGGCTGATGCTATAGGCAACGGTTATGTGCTCCGGCTCCAGTGGTTGTTTCAGCACTGTACCTAGAGTGTGGTGTCTGTTTTCTAAAGGTGCGTGAGCCAGGAGTGATTCTCCAGTACTCAGCCTGCATGCGCCTAGGGTTCCCTTCCCTAGGTGCCCTGTAAGTACTGCCCTTGGGGCTTGGGGCCACATTCCACAAGTTCCTTGGGTCCTGCCCCTGCTTGGCCGTTTACTGCTTGGTTTTCGGCCGCTCTTTGTGTGCTCGGGTGTTCTGTCTCCCTTGTTCGCCTTAGAGTAAGGGGCAGTTTTTGCACTGGTGGGGCGCAGGGTACTGTGCAGCTTGTCTTTACCAATCATAGCGGCCGGCTCTGTTCCGCTTGGGTACGCTGTCCTCTTGCGGGGTTTTCTTTTTCTTTTTGTTTATCTACCTGGTGGGGGGGGGGTCTGCCTTCGTTCCATCTCCTTGTGCCGCCTGGGGGAGCTGCGCAGACAGCGGCGCGGTGACGTATGACATCATACTAGTTTCCTTGTTTTCTGTTGAAGAGTTCTATCCACTAGTTCGGCTTTAGGTAGCAATTTTCACCAGAATAGGGGTTTGTTTTGGAATGCTTACCTTTCTGGATGCTTGACCCGGTCGATGGCAGACATAGAATGCTTCCAACCACACGGGGGTTTCTATAGGCCATTGCTCCCCTTGCCTCTCTGAGGGGGCCAGGTTCTGGCCGTGGTCCCCGGTAGGCCCTAGAACTCCATACACATGACTGATGCCAAAGTCTGACATTAGCATATCAGCCGGTAAAGCTCCGGGGAGCCTCCGGGTCTCGCCCAGAAAATGGCATTTCATTACATTCAACGCTGGTTTTTTTTTGTATATCATTTGGTATTACAGTGGGGCTTTTATTTATGATGGTGATCCGTTCCCAGAGACGTATCGTAAGTCGAAGCGATTTTTTCCCATAAGAAATGAAGGGAATTGAATTAATCCATTCCACACCCTTAAAAATATTAACTTAAAAATACATTTTATACTGAATACAATTTTTTTCTTTAACTACAATACAGTACATATGTTTGTCTTACCTTTATGGAGGACTTTTGATGGCGTATGGAAGATGAGGAGGTGGGAGGAGGAGAGGTGTTACTGTTTGGAAAGGGAGTCCCCTTCCATTATAACATCAGGCAGTGAGGACTTCTCTGCGGTAAATACTCTGGCACATTTTTCCTGCATACCACTATGACCTGCTTCTGGCTCACTTCTTGATTTTCTCGCTAGAAATTGTTCCATTGAAGATTGTTTTTCCCTTCTTTCCAACACTTGTCTGTAGTGAGGCATCACATTGTCATTAAAAAGATCAATGCAACGGGCTGTTACAGTTTTATCTGGGTGATTCTTTTCAGCAAAACTTTGCAGTCCTTCCCATACTGCACACATTTTCTTAATTAATTAGGAAGGGACATCCTCTAATGCTGCCACCTCCTCCTCCTCCTCTGAAGATTTATTGTACTGCCTAGCTAGTTCAACAACACTAGTACCATTTTCATGTTTATGTATGATCTCTTGTTTTTCCTCTATGGTCATTCTTACATGTGTTTTCATATGTTGAACCTTAGCACTGAATTTCTTGGGACCCATGGTGTGATATATAATAATCAGTTTTATGTCCAAAAAGCAAAAAATCGCCACAAAAACGGAATTTCTTATAGACGTGATCGTCTGTTATAAATTAAAGTGGTGATATGGGGGTATAGAGTATTAAAGGAGAAGGGCCAGCAGTTAGAATCAGGATGTATCAATTAGGGGAGATCAGATAGGCCCGGCCCCCAATAAGAACATAAACAATATTAAGTGGCTTAAGGTCAATACGTCAGCCTAGAGGTTTGATCACTGCTCCCCTACACAGGAAGAATGGATACTCCTTTAAAATTAACTTATTTATTAAACCCTCTTAACAACCCCCCATATACATTAAATAACAATAATTACTTTACCACACTATCTTACTTTAAAAGCCTTGGTCCACATAGGCAGGATACAAGGTTTTACAATTAGGACAAGCTAGGGTAAAGTCTACTGGGCAAGGGACACTAACAAGGACTCTAGGTAGCTTGGTACTACTTGAGCACACATGGTTCCACTGAGACCCCTTAGAGTAACTTAGCAATATAAACACTAGCATAGCCTATACACATTACTACACACTTATGCCAGAAAAACGAACATGCAGCACAATACTTAGCTTTGTAAACTAGACACAGGATAAGGTAAGGGAAGAGGAGGAGGAAGAGGAGAGGGCTACAGAGCAACAC